TGTCCAACGAGGATTTTCAGGATTTCGAATATATAACAAAATTGATAAAAGTAAATTTTTAGGAAGGACAATAGGATTTTGAAAACAAATGTCCAACGAGGATTTTCAGGATTTCGAATATATAACAAAATTGATAAAAGTACATTTTTAGGAAGGTATTGATACCTGTACCGCGTATAATGCGCTGAAAGATACCAAGCTGGACCAACAATAAGCAACTGCATAGTATACTTGTCAATCAAAATTTTGTTTTATTAACAAGAAAATGAAGCTGTTGAACTCCAGATCGTGTAAATTTACGTCGTTTATTCTAATAATATTTAAAAGTATCGTTCAACTCTCGTAGAATATAAGGAAATAATTGCATCGTAAATAGTCGAACTAAGAAGACCCCCCTAGAAACATATAAAATATTTAACAAACAACTCTCGTGGTGCCGAACACGTGAGGGGTAGTTGTGCAGTAAGGATTGACTTCGTTGATGGTTTCGGGATGGTGATAGATGGTCACGTCCTGCAGAATCCAGTTCTGTTGTCTGAATTTCGATTCGGTGACGAGCCTGTCCAGAGGGAAACCTAACGAGTTCTTGTCGAACAGGGTGTTACCGAACACTCTGGAATGGTAGTTGACTTCGGCGTCGTCCTCGACTGGGCTGATGTACACGAACAATTGGTACAATTTTCCAGCAACGTCACCCTTCGGCAACAGCAATCTTTGCGGGAAACCAGCGATTCTCTTCTCAAGGTATAAGGGAGTATCTCTGCGAATGGCCTCCTGTACTCTGGCGTAGTACACCTCGCTTGGCTCGAAGTCGGGGTAGTAGAAGAAGCTGTCGTTGCTGCTGCGCACGATGGTGTTGGTTCCTTCTTGCACTGTGGAAAATGTGTTCGATTATGTTACAATCGAATATGCCAGCGTGTCGAACATAGTCGTGCTAGAAAGAATACAGGGTGTCCCAAAAGTCATTCGCAATCGGGAAAGAGGTCGCGAGGACATTAGGGTCGTTTGAAGTAACTGCAGCAATTCTTTAAGTAACTTTAGCAATTCTGCTAAAGAAAAAGTTACTTCAAATGACCGATTCCGAGTGACTTTTGGGACACACTGTACATGGCGACTCTAAATAACACCCTGTCCAAAGAGCTGACGCAAAGAAGCAGCGAAAAGTATTTACTGTAAATTCCCTCAAATTGTCTCTCGGCTTGTAAACAACAAATGGATAATTTTATCTTACAGTTGGCGATTACCAACAGCTATAAAAACGAGCCGCGAGGCTCGAATAATCGTATCTGGTCTTCCCAAATTGTCCATTTTTCGTTCAGATGCTGAGGGACAATTGGAGAGAATTTATTGTACTCTTTTACGCAGCTTTCAAAGAGCTCGAACACATACTTTAGAGCGTCACAGGTTTGTTCGAAACTTACGAGAGACTAGCCAGTCATCGATTTCATAGAAGTAATCGAAATCTTGTGGAAGCTTGATGAGATTGTGGTACGCGTCGGTTTTCGGTCCGAGGAAAACTTTGACGACTGCCTTGGTTGGTTTCTTGCTAGTAACCTGGATGGTGTACTTGAAGCTTTCGTGGTTCAGACGGGTTTGCGTGATCTTGATCAGGTTTGTTTTGGCCTCTTCGTCGCTTTGGATCAGTAAACCGTTGCTGACGGTCGAATTGAATACGTCGAAGAATGTGGTCAGTCGGGTGACGTCGACGGACTCGATCTTCGGGTACGTCGTATCGTTGACCTTTCTGTGGAATGTACGTCCAGGCCTTGATGTGAGCAAGCCCTCGTTACTCTTGTGGGTATTCTGGCGAAGCTTGTATCTGAAACCATTAATTCCAATGATTCCTTTGCAATTCTTAGTACTCCGATCGGACTTAAACTTTTAGGCACGACGCGCCACTATAGTGGCTTCCGCGGATATCATCTTTTAGAACGACACGCCACTATAGTGGCTTGCTCTAGTAGCTCACTCGCTCCTCGTTTGAACCAAATAATCGTCTTCATATGCATTGTTTCACACCTCTTTTGTCTTCACATCGATTTGCAACAGTCTACAGGGTGTTCCAAAAATGTCTCGCAATCTGGAAATGGCGGGTTCCTCGGATCATTTGAAGCAACTTCTTCCTTTACAAAAATGTTCTCCGAGGCACCGTTAACGAGTTATCAACGAAAAACAGTGACCAATAAGAATCGAGTACGGCCGACGCGAGGCGGCCCAGCCAACCAGCGCGCGAAGCCCAGTTTCGCTCATTGGCTCGATCGCCTCGCGCCAGCCGAGCTCGCCTCTCGTTGGTCACGGTTTTTCGTTAATAACTCGTTAACGGTGCCTCGGAGAAAATTTTTGTAAAGGAAAAAGTTGCTTCAAATGGCCTAAGGAACCCGCCACTTTCGGATTGCGAGACATTTTTGGGACAGCCTGTATATACAGACAGAATATACAGTATCAGACTCTGTACAGTACATATCAGACTCTGCCGTCCAGAGAAATAGCCTCGCGCAGAATTCAGCCGTACCTAAAAGGTTAAAGCTACGCGGATCTGATCCAGAATCAACCGATGAATTCACAGACGAAATTACCTTGTGTAGAGGTCGTTGACTCTTTTCAGAATTCTGTAGGTGGCAGGATCTCTCAAGGAGCTAGTGAATGTTTCCAGAGCGCTAGGAACAACGGTGGCGTCGGCCACGGGAGTGGTGCTGTGTCCCAAGATCTTTCTGCTGAGCTCGTCGAAGCTGCCGTAGACGTTCTTGTTGATGGAGTCCGCATTACCTTCGATAATGTTTCCAAGGATGTTCAGACCCTCTGGCGTGTAAATGTTCACCCACTTGTTGTGGTTGTCAAGGACGAAACCGGAGTCGATGGCGGTCCTTATTCTCGTTTCAAGGTCTATAATGTCCTGCAACGGATGGGCCAATTAACATAAAAAGAATGGACTAGCAGCCTGAGTGAGCAGAAGTGCTCGTTAACACGTTCCGTGCCACGTGTACCATCGATGGTACACGCTTGCATGTTTACTTAGTGAACTGAACAAATTGTTTACAAGAAATTTAGAACCGAAGAATCAATTTCCACCGCAAAAATGGGCGTTGATAAGTTTTTGTTACGTTGTTATGTGTACGAGAATTAATAATTGCACGTAATACATCAAGTTTTAGTAAAATATCAAAGTGTGAAGATTCGAGTAAAAAAAGCTCGGCACGGAACGTGTTAAATAAAGAACACATAATACAGTAAATTCTACTACCAAATTGTCTCTCAGCTTGAAAACAAACGCATGGACAACTTAGAAAGAGGAGATACGATTATAATAATCGTTGATACGAATTGTTAACAATCGGCAACTATAAAAATATAATCGTACGTACTCCTCCCAAGTTGTCCATTTTCGTTTCTAAGTTGAGGGACAATGTGATACATTGCTGTATCCTGTTGGATATTGTCTCTAAAGAAAGTGCACATTATCTAATGGATTATTACATATGCTAAAGACTATCTATAATTGTCGATCAGTTTTTGTGTACTTACAATGACATCTTTATAGGAGCTCCTGGGTAATTTGCTGTACGCTAGTCTCTGGGGCCACGGTATTCCATTGTGGTATACCAGGGTTGGTTCATAACCAACGGGGAACGGTTCGGTCCATAGGAAGTTCTCAACAAACGGCAATTGGTTCGCGACTCTTTCAAGGTTGTACCGCCTCAGCAGTTGAATGTGGGCGTACAAGTATTCTTCTCCACGGTAAGCCGAGGTATCGAGGACGTCGCTGCTCAACCAGAATGGGTTGTTCAAACGCAGGAAGACGTAGTACGCGTTCAGACCGATATCTTCGACGAAGTAGTTCAACTTGTTCTCCAAGCTGGTCTGGCGGTTTACGTTCCAGCCGGTGTAATTGGCAGCGAACGCTACCACCGTGGGATTGCTCCTGTCTGGAATAATTAATAAGTTTATAATAATTAATATAATTAATAAGTTTTGAAGTTCGAAACATGTTCACATCCAGGATACTGTGCAGATTACAAGTTGAGAAAAAAAGGATATATAGTAAATTCTCTCAAATCGGTGCTGTTCCATTATTTTTCTTATAACTTTCAATAATTATAATGTCTACGAATTTCACAGTAAATTTAAGACTTTCACAGTCAAGCGTTAGACAGTTCTCAAGCAACATATGTCTGAAGCCTGTTCGTGCAAATTAATACAAAGATCTTCCAAAAGACATAACACTGCAAAGAAATATTAGGTTTGCAAGAAGGTAATTTTGCTTTTGAAGCAACTACTTTCTTGCAAACCCAATACCGTGCGTCCGATAATAGGGAAATGTTCTCTAGATAAAAAAGACAATTACCGAATGGATGAGTGATTTTGTAGTCGTTGATAGCCTTGATGACATCTGCATTGTAGAAGGCGTACGGATACAACTCGTACAACGGCGGCAGTCTTATGTATGCAGTATCCGGCCTGTGGATCACAGCGGTGTACAGGGCAAAAACGAAGACACCCTCGTTCTCGGTACCTCTTGCCCACAGAGCAGTGTTGTAGAAGGAATCGAAGCTGTCTGCAGAGATGAGCAGCTCTGTCAGGGCCTTCAACTGGGCCAGGTGAGAGTCATCGTAGACAGAGAACACTGCTCTACGTGGAAGAGTTTCACGCAGTTTGAGCTCCTTGAATCTCTCTACGACATTCTGCAAAGAAGCGATCGACAATGAATTACACGGTCTTGGTTACAGTGGCAAGCTTTGCAGTTACAGTAGCAAGTAGTCAAATCAGCCACGTAATTCGGGGCCTGATGAGAACTTTTGCTGTCGCCCGAATACGGGTGACGCGGCAGTCAACGTGTTAATAATGACTAATTCTACTCTAATTTCTACTTCTTCTAATTTTTTTCTCTAGTAGCAAAGGGATTCTATCGTTGAGGAGACAGAGAAAGGATACTTACCGGGTCCTTGAACTTGTGGTAGTTTGCATGGAAGTATTTCTCGCCCTGCTCGTGAAGCCGTGGGTTTACAACTTCGGGTTGGGCTACATGGAACAGAAGCTGGTAAATTCTCGCCTGGTTCGACAGGAACTCAGGACTTGTCTGAAATGATTCGTGACCCCAACCAGCCCCGACGAACGAGACGGCCAGCAAACCCAATAACCACAGTCGCAACATGTTCGTGTAAAACACCGCAGTTGAGAACTTGTGGGTCCATACGTTTTTCGCCGTTTTTATACTCACGAAACATCCCCACCTCGGCCAATTTATCGTCCTAGTAATCGCTTCTTCGCGATTTTTCCTTTTACGATTATCATTAGCGTTTTTGACTAATCTGCAATACGCAATGTATATATGTATATACAGTGGAACCTCGTTTATTCGAAGGACTTTTTTAACGATTGAACTTCGATCTATCATTTTGTGCTATTGTACTGATATTTCTTCGTGATTCGTGATTGTTTACAAGAATACGAAACTATAAGTACATTGTAGAAAAATACGAATCGCGATTAGAAATCGCATGACACAAATTTATTTAATTAAACCGGCATTGAATTACTAGATTTCACGAGTGCTTGTGTTCCAAATAGAAGTTTAAGTTGTGAAGAACCATAAATTCGATGATGCCGAAATGCATACACATTTAATTGAAATTGAATACTTCATTTTAGACGCATAAGAACGTAAAAATATATAAATATCGAAAATAATTAATGGACGATCTTATTATGAAGCTTTATTACATTTTTACAATAATCTAAAATATAACGGACTCTGATAATATTATTATACAATATTAATTCTAGGAAATGTGATTAATCGGTCTCGACAAACCAACGCTAAACAAGTTCAAATTTGTTACAGCTACAAATTTATAAATTCAATACTTTAAAAGGCTGTCCCAAAGTGTGAGTCACAATGTATTCTTCTTTTATATCAATCTTTGAATAAGCATAACGCTACCTACACTTTGTACGCATTTGTACACTGGCTCTAAGACATTTAATACTTCACTGAAACATTGATCTACCCTTTGATTTTCAGTGAACAAATGTCCTCATGTTTCATTTTTTTTTATGGGAGCAGGGGGAATAAATATTTATATAGAATTCGGTTGTCATGAGAAAATAAGTTTTTAAGACAACAAAGCTCTCCAACTTTTAGCTTTTTCGATTGACGCACAGTTCTGCTTGCTTCACTGTCTGAAGACTCAGATTCTGTCGCATGTAAATGATTTTATATTTCTAACTAGACTGCGGATCTTTATACAAAATAAAAGTTGCCTAAATTAATTGCAAGAAATCTAAATTAGATACAAACTTCTTTCGAACGTTTAATCATTGTAATAAGTTAAGAATAATGTAACGATGCCCTTAAATTCTTTTCATGACTTTATATCATTGTATCAATAGTTTATCTAAAACAAAAAGATGTTAACTATCAATTTTGTATTCGGATATCGAAGCTCTACTGTATTCCATTTTGAATATTGGTACAGCAGGGCCTAGGACTGTGGATGAATTTTTTTAATTCGAAAACTTGCCAAGCACTGAAATTAGCATGTAGAAATTCATTTTTTTTTTCTTTAATAAAAAAGAATAGCGCAGCAATATCTCAAAAATCAAGTTTACCTTTGACGTGGATTAAAACGCATCCTATTACATATGCTATGTTTTATATGGTGGTAGACTGATTCACGATACCTCAGTCGTCTACTATCTACTAACAGAGTCTAGATTTTTGATCCAAAAAATTAAAATCGTCATTTAATTACTTAACTGCTGGAGTTTAAATTAAACAAATACCTTGGACGCCGTTTTGAGATTAAGAAAACCTGCTGATATATAGCAACCGTTTTTTGAGTTCCATAAATATTAGATAAACTGAAAGAATAATAATGTAGTATTGTTCATAAGTGCCTAAAACTTAAATTATTAATCTTTCATCGTTACTGTGAAAAGCGATGAACTGAAAATTAAAAAAAGGTGATAATCATCCTGTTTTGGATCTCCTTATCAGAAAGAAAATTTTACTCGAGGAAATAGTGCTTCGTTTATAAAATTAAATTTTCACGCTAATATTTCATAAATGCAATTTGAAAAATTTTTAAAGCGCACAAATGCACTCCGTTTCTAAATGGAACTTATTTCTTTTTTTAAACAGTCTAATTTAGGACATAACGTTAATAAAATATTCGTGAGATACACCGAGTTTATTAGTGTCCCTTTGTCATTGTTCTTATTACTGTCTATTAAATCGAAAAATTACAAAATCTGTCTTCGTTTATAAGTAGAAGCAGTTAATATCTAGTTAATTAATTTTGGATGGCGGTGATGCAGTTGTAATATCATTGATGAATGAAAGAGCAAGTCACACATGTATTATGAAACAGTTGCTTATGATGAAACATCTAATTAATTAATTCGACTGGGCCCTTGTTACGATATTACGTAACGACGATTTTTTTTATCGTGAAAACAAAATCGCGGTAAATAAGCTGGTTATCGATATCCGTTTGACATTTTGACATCGAGTGACATCGGGGTCAAATGAAATAAGATTTATGTCTGGTTATTTAAACAAACTGATAAAAGTCGAACAGATCCACAACAATCTCTCGTATATATCAAAATTTATATCTTTATGTAATATAAACGTATCATTGACTTCTCTTACAATTTTAACCCTTAGCGCGCGTGTGCGCTAATTACATGAATATTCGAAGCAATCGTCAATGTAATTGTCATAACATTTAGTAACATTTAATTCAATATTTAATAATGCAATGGCACTGTTACAAATATGTTGCTTAGAACTATAAAATCAGAGACAACAGGATATCAACAGGACATCCTCGTAACAGGATACGACGTGGATAGAAATTATGGAAACAAAAGGAACAAGCATAAGCAACGCAACAATATTTATTGCGAATCTAAAATATTAATAATATATATAATATTATTATATATATAATATTATAATATATAATATTATAATATATATTATAATATAATATATATAATAATATATATAATATTATATATAATATATATATAATAATATATATAATATAATAATAATATATATAATAATATATATAATATTAATAATAGTCAAGGAATCTAAAATATTTCGAACGTTATCGCAAATATGATTAAAAATCACCGTCGAGAAATTCGCCTGAAGAACGCGATTCTTTAAACAAGTTTAAAGCGTCCAGTCATGATCGCGAAACGAAGATGAGAAATTAATCTGTATACAAACACGCGGTGATTAGGAAACATACTCTGCAGCGTCGCGATTAACGTGCATCTGTGTCGATACACTTCTCTAATCAAGAGTAATATCGTTTACGCTTGAATTACGAGCGACATAATTATACATGAAAACACACAGTATCACAACTGAGAGACAGATACCTTTTATCTATCCGCAAGCTATCATAACATTCTCTTTCCTCGTGGCATTCGTATGTTTCATTAACGATCCCCGATAATTTTATGATTTATGCAAAATGCCGCACCCTTGTTCAGCGAACCGTCTCTTATTACCGCAAAACAGTCTTTATATTTTCCTATCGCATGCTAATGATCCCTCGCGCCATTCTATCGAGACATAAGTAATTATCGATACGATATCATACGTCGGGGTGTATTGCATGACGTGATTTGACAAATCGTCGAGGAAAATTTGTGGTCGTATTACCGGCCAGAAAATCGATCATGTTCGCTGTTGTTGTTTTTTTTAAGAAAACGGTCTCTCGGTTCTCTGAGCCCTATAATTTTCTAGTTCGATCTTCGAAGGGCGTTTACACGCCCGAACGTACAGTACAAAGTAGAACTTAACCGCGAGAGAAAACGCCGGCGATCTTGAGAAAAGCATCTTCCCCGTTCTTAGTTCGATCGTGTCGAAGCGATGGAGGCAATTTAGGTTTAAATGTTACATGACGATGAACAAGAAATTGTAAACAAATTCAAAATCAAATTCTTTATTCAGCGAGTCTCGCGTCACAGATTAAAAGCAAAAGTTTAAGACGCTCGTTGTTCCGGAGATTCTTGTTCCATCGCCGACTATTTGGGTGTGTTGTAGACCATGACGTTCTTGAAGTACATGTTCGGAATTGAGTAGTTCCAGACGTAGAGAGGTCGGTCCAACGGGAAGCCAGGGGCCTTGCCGTCGCAGAAGAACTTGCCGAAGTATGGCAGTTCGTAGTAAGAGTCTTTGTTCTCCTGGTAGGGGCTTATGAAGAAGAACATCTTGTACTTCATGCCTTTAGAGCTACCCCTAGGAAGAGTGAAACGCGAGCTAAAGCCGAACTGCCTCTCGGAGTATTTGAACGGTTCGTTGCCGCTGATCGCTCTGTCCAATTTCTCCATGAACTGGTCCATCGGCATCATGTCCTGCATCATCAACATCGAGTCGGTGCTCTTTCTGACAATGTTGTTGGCACCGGCGGAAACTGCAAAAGTTAGACGAATTTTTTAAATCGTTCTTGCGAAGGATTTTCTAAGGGCACTGTTTGAGATGCGGTTAGATCAAGAGATCTCGAAGAAGCAGGGAAACTTACGCTTCACGGTGAATCTGTCCATCTCGAAGAAATATTTGTAGTACTTCTGCAAGTAATAATAGTCTTGGCTTTCGTCCTCGAAGTAAGGGCCCATGAAGATCTTGACGAGGGCGGTCTCCTCTTTGTCAGAGTTTATGTTGAACTTGTAAGAGAATGGCTGATAGTTCAGACACGAACGGCGTGCCTTCATTTTCAATGATTTTCCATGGTTGAAGTTCTCCACTGAAACAGCGTTGTTGATGATGGTGTCGCAGTAGTCGAAGTAGGTGTTCAGCCTGTCGATGTCCACGGACTCGATCCTCACACCTTGGAATTGCAATTCGGACTGCGTGTACATTGGCAGGTTCTTCTGGTATCTGCAAAGATCGTCGCGATATTATTCATTTTGAACATTCTCGATTCGAAATGTAGAAGTTAATCGAACGCTGTGGTTCTCGTTTGAGCGACGGGCAACTTGCAACGACGGCGAACCAGTTAAATGCGAAACGGGAGAAACGTTTCAAGAAACTGTTGGGTTGCTTGAAATCAATGACGAATGAAATACATTGCTGTCTAGCTGCCAGATTCTTGTAATCGACTTTGTAGATTTGCGTCGGTTCTGAATATTCGGGAAACTCTCGAAGACGACTGATATTAATGAGAATCGTCGGATGAACGTTGCCGCACCTGAAGAAGTAGCCCATGATCTTCTTGTACATCATATAGAAGGCAGGATCTCTCATGTTGATCGAGTAGCACTGCAGGGCGCTGGGGATCATCTTGTTCTTGTTCTGATAGTTGTAGCCGAATCCGAGGATGTCGCGAGCGAAAGCGTCGTACATTCCGTAGAATTTCTTGTTGCACGAGTCGAAGTTGCCTTCGATCACGTTGGCCAACAAGTACAGACCTTGCGGAGTATATATGTTCACCTTGTTTCCATTTTGGTCTTGCAAGAAGCCGGAGTCAATGGCCTCCATAATGCGGTACTCGAACGCGGTGATGGCCTGGAAAATTAATCAATATTTTATACGTGAACGAACCGTTTCCTCACTGGGAAAAATGCCTGTAGGTCATATTTGCACTTGCTTGTCCTTGGCACATTGTCTTACACCTACATTCAAATCCTTGGTCTTATAGAACGGAATGTTCGTGTACTGGTCCCTGTATGGCACGGGCACGCCATTCGTGTAGCACATCTGGGAGAAGAATCCTGGTTGGATGGGCTTGTACCAGTCGAGGTCGTCGATCTTGCCCAGGCCGTTCGACATACGTTCCAAATTGTATTTGGCCATCAGTTGCTTGTGATAGTAGTAGTACAAGTTTCCGCGAAGCTCCTTGGACATGCCGACGTATTCGCTGGACAACCAGAACGGCAACACCTGTCGGAAGTAGTAGTAGAACATGTTCATGCTAGGATCCTCCATAAAGTAGTCCATCTTGTACTCAGATTCGTCGTAGGGGATGTAGGCGCTCGAGTAATTCGCGTAGAACATGTACGAGTCCTTGTTATCGAGGCCAAAGTTTGCTCCGCAGCCTGAAAACAAATTATTTGTTAGCGGCGAATGTTAGGACAACTTTGTAACATTATATTATGTAATATTATAGAGCAATTCGGGGTGTTTCGCGCTCTTAAACGATTTAGAATAAGAAAACAGATTTGCCAGACTCAAATATGCTATCGGATGATCTGGCATACTCTGCCACTTTTTAAATGAAACTCTACACAATTCTCCCTAATTTCCCTTCAGCTTGTAAACAACAAATTTGGGAAGAAGAGATACGATTATTGATGAGCATCACGGCTCATTTTTATAGTTGCCGATTGCCACAACTATAAAAACGAGGTGCAAGGCTCGAATAATCGTATCTCCTTCTTCCCAGATTTTCCATTTTAGTTTACAAGCTGAAGGAGAATTAGGGAAAATTTACTGTACCATCAACAGATACGACTGGGCTCAGTTGCGTGAAACATCCTGTGTATTAAATATGTTTCTTTTCTAGTGTAGGTACTTATCGGTAGACCGCGAATTTTATGCATTTATGGCAAAATTGTGCGGACGCAGTTTAATATAGCTCAAGAGATTGAAGGAATTGAAAATGATTAAAGGAAGAACGCGAGCTTGAATAATCGTGTCTCCTCCTCCCATATTGTCCGCCATATTTTTTCCAATCGAAGCGTCAATTACAGAGAATGTACTGTATATAGTTTCTATATCTTTTAATCGGCGCAGACAATTTTTATTCCGCATAAAACCCCGCGGTTTACCTATCAATGTTACCTTTCGACATCTTGAACTTCTGCGCCTGTTGGATCACGTCATAGCTGTTGTACATGTTCGGATAGATCTCGGATATAGCCGGCAGTCTCATGTATTTGCAGTCGTTTCTGTAGAAGACCGCACTCGTGAAAGCTGCCACGAACACGCCGTCGTTCACATTGATTCGAGCCCAGCATGCTGTTTTATAGAAAGTCTGGAAATCCTTCGCCGAGTAGAACAACTCGAACAATTGTTTCACCTCGTAAACATGCTCCTTGTTGTAGTAGCTGAACAGGGCGCACCTGTCGAGCAACCATCCCTTCTTGTACCACCACATGAATTGCTTCACAGCATCCTGAAAAGTACAATGTCAAGCTGATGAACATTTGGAAACGTTTATTAATTCCATTGTTCGAGCTTCGCGGCTCGTTTTCACAGTTGCCGATTGCTAACAACTAGAAAAAGTTGTTGCCGATCCGCAAGTATCTCCTATCTCCTATTTATATATATATGCATAATATTGCATATTGCAAATTATAATATATATATTATAATACAATATTATTATATATAATATATTATAATATAATANGTTTCTTTTCTAGTGTAGGTACTTATCGGTAGACCGCGAATTTTATGCATTTATGGCAAAATTGTGCGGACGCAGTTTAATATAGCTCAAGAGATTGAAGGAATTGAAAATGATTAAAGGAAGAACGCGAGCTTGAATAATCGTGTCTCCTCCTCCCATATTGTCCGCCATATTTTTTCCAATCGAAGCGTCAATTACAGAGAATGTACTGTATATAGTTTCTATATCTTTTAATCGGCGCAGACAATTTTTATTCCGCATAAAACCCCGCGGTTTACCTATCAATGTTACCTTTCGACATCTTGAACTTCTGCGCCTGTTGGATCACGTCATAGCTGTTGTACATGTTCGGATAGATCTCGGATATAGCCGGCAGTCTCATGTATTTGCAGTCGTTTCTGTAGAAGACCGCACTCGTGAAAGCTGCCACGAACACGCCGTCGTTCACATTGATTCGAGCCCAGCATGCTGTTTTATAGAAAGTCTGGAAATCCTTCGCCGAGTAGAACAACTCGAACAATTGTTTCACCTCGTAAACATGCTCCTTGTTGTAGTAGCTGAACAGGGCGCACCTGTCGAGCAACCATCCCTTCTTGTACCACCACATGAATTGCTTCACAGCATCCTGAAAAGTACAATGTCAAGCTGATGAACATTTGGAAACGTTTATTAATTCCATTGTTCGAGCTTCGCGGCTCGTTTTCACAGTTGCCGATTGCTAACAACTAGAAAAAGTTGTTGCCGATCCGCAAGTATCTCCTATCTCCTATTTATATATATATGCATAATATTGCATATTGCAAATTATAATATATATATTATAATACAATATTATTATATATAATATATTATAATATAATATTATAATACAATATTATTATATATAATATATTATAATATAATATTATTATTATTATATTATTATTATTATATATATATATTATAATTTTGTATATGTACATTGCATAAAGGAAGTTTAATGTTTATTAGAAAATATTTGAAACATCTTTCCACAATTTCGCTGTTAAGTAAGATCTTTTAAATATTAATTACTGGCAACCTCAAATGTTGCTGCTCTCTAGTTTACTCTTCGATTTTGGCTAATGAAATTGAAATGTCGACGGATAAAGAATCACCTTGTTGTTGTACATGTCGATGTTGCTCTCCGGGTTGTAGTTTTTACCGATGTTGTAGTACTCGGCATCGTTCAGGTCATTCTGGCTGACGTAAAGCAAAATTTCGAATATTTTCTTCTGTTTCTGCAGGAACTCGACGTTGGCGGTGCGACTGTCATATCCTGTGGCCTGGACGGCGCAAACAGCGCCGAGCGCTAACAGCAACGCGATCTTCAACATCCCCTCGATTTTCTCGACGAAGCCAGTCGTTCTCGAAGTCGGGCGAACGTAATGCACTGGCTCCACCGGCACGAGCTGCTTTTATACTTATTTCTAATAATGCAATCACTCGGGACCCCTGATCTTTGTCTCTTGCATTCAACAATGTACCGTGCGCGTGTATGCGTGTCACCCCGTCCGAACAAACGGCGCGTGTGTTTTTGTTATTACGGTTGATTATTTTATTGTTACGCTCTTCCCCGATAGTTCACTGCAAAATACAGTGGGTCAAAACAATTTATTGGCACACACTGCCTCGCCGATAACGATTAATTATAATGCCATCGATTCTTCTGCGGGGATACAGTCAATCGCATAACGCTGCCTAACTTTCGGCCTCTCGCGGTCCGGGTTTTCAACTTTTCGAATTTGCATTTCGACGCAACCGAGAAAGCTCTAGGAATGATTCTTAGGTGGACCAACTCGATAGACACTCTTCTATACGGAAATATATATATTTTCGTGATATTACGAACATTTAGCCGCGTTCGAGCCGCGTAAACGGAACCAGAACCCGTAATTTTAACGCGGCAACTTTGTCGGACACTTTTCAATTTATTTCGAAAATTAAGGTCTCGAGGCAGAATTTGATCACATCGCGCGACAAAACCGACGTTCTTCCCTTAGAAACCGTTAAATGAAGTCGCGAAATTGATTTCATTTTCGAAAAATAAAATAATATTGTTTGGCAAGACTTGACAAAAATGGCGGCTAGTAATCGATCGTTTCGGAAACTGAAGTTTTGAAACGGACGAACAACTCCACGATTTCGAAACGTTTTGATTTCTAGCAATAAGATCAGATTTTATCGTCTGTTAATGTGTCTCTGAGAAAAATTAGAGTTGCATTCATTTATTCTTCTTCACATTAGGATCTTCAAGAAAGAACTAAAATGAACGGTAGATTTATTTCTGATTGGTTATTCAATAATTTTGGCTATTAAAAATTAATAAAAATTTAATTATGTCATTGAATTTTTATGAATACTGTCTGCCTATCGCATAATCTATCGAACTACGAGCACGTCTATATACGTACAGTTCTCGGACTTATCATCATATCTCTATTTTTGTTATTCTTCTCGAATCATCAACTTCCCTCGCCTTTCCGTAATCAACCGAATTACTCGACTGTTGACACTGTCAACCACACGGTGGAATTTGCCAACCGATATTACAACATTTTGCTATCCATTGACCCCTGGTCTGAATCGAAAACAATTTGTCAGGAACATGGAAAGTGAAAATTTAAAAACTAAATTAGATATAAATATAATTTTGTGGTTATTAAACAAATCACAATTGAATTCAAGACACCCTGATCTTGTAAATATTCACATCAAAACATCCTAATTTTATAATATATCTTATTACATAAATATTTAATTCAATTTATTCTAATATTATAAACAGTTCGTTCGATATATCTTATTTTTTAAATATTTGCTTTGATACATTCTAATCTTATAAGTAAATCAATCAATATATTTTATTTTCTAAATATTCAATGCATATTGCAGGAAATTATTATAAATATTTTCTACAAAAAATATGATTTCATCGAAAAAAAGTGCATAACATATAATATTTTAATTGCATCTAGTGTTAACAGGATAGAAAATAAATAATATTACCGGAGAAGTGTACTACACTTTCGAGCTTCAGTAAAAGGTGCAATTAAGCAATAATACTATAAATAGAAACGTGTGTTTTTCTGCCTGAAATCCGTCGTGAAAAAAATATTGGGGTGAATCGAAAAACGATTGGCCTCGAGATAATTTTGGTGTAAATTATAATTAATATTCGTGAAAGTATGACTTAAACGTTATTATCGCGGTGATAATGGCTCGCAGGAGACTTTCATAATGAAGACAAGCTCGTAAATCTCTTTCTAGATATTTGCATGAACGGGGCGAATAGATTCCAACATGCAGCATGTAAATTTCCACGTTTATGGACCAGCGAAATAAGACAACAAAATGCTCAAATAAATTCTAATCATCTCACTGAGATAAAGGGGTACAATTGTTGGGTCATTGACCGCGGTCAATTTCACTCTAATCGCTTTACAATGGTCCGCCATATTTTCTAATATCTTGCACAGACTCGGACTGTTATTTGAATGCATAACGAGTCTTGTCGATTACATTACAAACAAACATTTATTATGCTCGAAAATATTTCAGGCTGCTTTCTGAATTTTTAGAATTCTTAATGGCAATAATTGTTTCCGCAACTTTTTTTATATTCGATTCTTTAATTAAGCGTGAATTGTTTAATTGGTTTGAAGACAAAGTGTTTAATTGGATTATGTACGAATTGTTTAATTAAATTAGGTATGGATTGTTTAACATTT